GAATTATTTTACTATATATTCACTTTTATCGATATTCAACACTTGTATAAAGCTTTTTGGGGACTTAATTCACGACTAAACAATATTTTTCAATCATGTAAAAATTTATCTCTGATATTAGATAACAAAGTTGATCCATTGTTGATGAATTTATATGCACCTTTCGTCACTCGTTTGATAATTCCTACAAACATCTATTGTGATTTTAAACAATTTCCTAATTTACATGAATTGGTATTGTGTATTGAAAATTCAAAACAATTTTCACAGATTCAACCTGATGTTATTCCCAATCTCACTCATCTATCGTTTATGTTGGGATCTAAATTCACTTTACCTATGGAATTAATTTGGAATGTGTTCTCAAATGGATTTTCATCTCTTCGACAGGTTAATTTGAGTCATATCGATGTGTCTCTCTGTCGTTCATGGCCTACATCACCTTCTCTTCAGTTTGTATCAATTCTTTCTTGTAAACCAATGGATATTCCAGTCATTCTTGCTTCATGTCCTTGTCTTCAACATCTTCAAGTTCATATTTCGTTAAATGATAATGATGACATTATCATTTCATCTTTACTTCTCAATCATCCACTTCGACGACTCACTCTCTGGAGTGATTATACCGAATTAACTTCGGATGTTATTGACAGTATTCTTACTTATACACCAAACATTGAATGTTTCTATTTACAAACAATATATTCTATGTCATTGATTGATTTAGCTCATGGTTTAGCGAATCGACTCAATTATTTATCACAATTCGATTGCTATATTACAGAAATGCTGACAAGGAATTGTAGAATTAATAATCTAACTGATTTACATCAAATTCATCCTTGTTTTTATCGAATTCAAGTTATAGAAGGAAATGATGATTTTCGAATTTTGGCTACAAAATAAAATATGTTAAAAATAAGAATTGTTTATAAATGGTCATTGATGTTCAATATATTCTTTATATAGTTGCAGTAATTGTTGTTTATATTGTGTATGAATATGTGAAAGAACATATTCTTGTGCTAAAACTGGAATGACATTTTCAGTGTATTGTTCATTAATTGATTGTATTCCATTTCCATTTATTTGATTTCCATAATTAATTAACTTGGAATATATTCTTGAGAACTATTTGGTGAATGATATGGATTAAGCATGACTGAATTTCATAGAGAATTTCCTCAAATATTTATCGGAATATTTTCAATTCTATTGTGTTTTTTATCTTTCGATTTCTAAAAGAAAATTATTCGAAACAATTTATTTTTTCGTCTCAAATGTGAATAAAAAGAAAATGAATTGCCAAACTTTTACATTAATAATAATGAATCATTGAGTTTAACAAGAAGTGCTAATAATTCAAAAAACAGAAAATAGTACTAAGAAAATCAACAACATCATTCTATCAAGCTCAATCATGAAATAATAATAAATGATATTTTTCGACTTTGATCAGGCATAACATTGAATGATGCCGATAACAATATGGTTAAAAATGAAAAAAGAAATTCTTTCAATTGAATTGAATCAAAAATATTTCAAATAAATTCAATGAACTACAAATAAATAAAAGAGCAGCTGGGATTAAAAAACATCATTTGATATGAACATGGAACATTTAATACTTCATTTGGAATTAAAAAGCAGCAATGAAATAAAATATTAAACAGATAATTTCTAATGCTTTAGTACTTCGAACAGAATCTTTTCAACTATTTCAAATTTATTCTTTAGGAAAAAAAAACGATAGATTGAAAATTCAACCTTGGTATTACATATAGCAAACTCTTCATAAACCAGAACGTATTGACACATCAACATATGTTGTTCATGATGTTTCACCAAATGAAACAGAATTTAATACTACATATGCTATTATTATTAATCTTCCACGACCAGTTGATGAAAATAATATCATATTTCCTTCTCTCTTTCTCTTCGGTCCATTTTCTAATATCGTTTCTTTTTTTTCTTTTCATTCATCCGTATCTTTCTTGTTTTTTTTCTTTTCTTTTTCATAATTATTTAATTAAAGGACATAATTATTTTTTTTATTTGCATGACCAAGCATTTATTCACTTGTATTGATTTTTCATGTAGAATTTTTTCTTCTCAACAACTGCAGAAGAAACTAAAAAGAAAAGATTTAATATAAAATCAATCGATTCCGATGAAATGATGTTTGTCGATAAATGTCTTGATTTTCACTTCTTTTTCTCCAAAGAAAATCATCAACTTTTGCAACGTTTAATCTTTGTCCTTCATCCCCAATATCTTTTTCTAAAGGAATATTTTCATTAATTTTATTAACAAGATAATGAACAACTCAAATAGATGTCAGAACGAATTTTTATTTCATCTTCGTCACGAAATGGAATTAATTCTTCATGTTTTAAATCTTCTTTCAATTTTGATGAATAAATTAATATTCTTTTATGAGATAAAATTTGAGGAACATAATAATCAGCCAACATTGTTAAATCATCTT